GGTTCATGTCTGCAGTCCCAGCACCCAAGAGGCTAGGGCAGGAAGATGGCAAGTTCAAGGCCAGCTTGGGCCATGTGAAGAAACCTTGACTCAGGATGGAGGGAAGGAGGGAGAGAGAGAGAGAGAGAGAGAGGAAAAGAGAGTAAGAAACAGAAGGACTTTATGTTGAGATGGGAACTGTGAGGTTGGTCTGGTCTCCTGAGTGATCACTGAAGGTGTCAGCTAAATCCCTGGCCTACATTTCCTCTTAGTTGTGACTGAGTTCAGAGATTCACTCAGGAGACTAAAGTATTCTCTGCTCAGTAGTGCTAGCTCCTCAGTTCCTGGTAAAATACAAACTTTAAAATAAAGGCACCTGACTTCAGTCCCTGGGGTCCCCAAATGTCCATTATAAATCAAAGCACAAGGAAACTCCCTCTAGAAAGAATGAAGCCATCAAGAGTGCGAGACTGGGGAGTGGAGGTTGGAGAGAGCATGACATCAGAATGCCACATTTATATCCTGCGTGTGCTGGGTTGGGCACAATTATGCTACAGAAACAAATTTACCTCTGGCCTGATCTGCTTTAGATCTGAGCAACTCAAAGCAGTCTTGCTGTCAGAACTGAAAGGAGATGCCTCATTTTGTTTGCTGGAAGAGCAGCAATAGTTACACAGTGATGGAAGGGAAGACAGAGAGCAGCATGGGCATCCTGAGAACTGGCCACGCTGAGGCACTTACTGAGTAAATTCAACTATAACCCTGGGAGACTGACATGGGGGTGTATAACACAGGGCCCACACGAGCTGTATGTGTGGCCCAAGACAAAACTGTGAACTCAAAGTGTGAGGATCATTTATTTACTTATTTACTGTGCATGCATGTCTTCCTGCACATGTGTATGTGCTCCATGCACATGCCTGGTGCCTGCAGAGGGCAGAAGAGGGCACAGATCCCCTCGAACTGGAGATATAGACAGTTGTGAGCTGGGAACTGAACCCAGGTCCTCCACAAGAGTAGCCAGTGATCTTACCTGTTGAGTATGACATCACCAAAGCCTGACATCTGTGTGTGGAGGGGATTTTTAGTAACACAGTTGCATGGTTCTCAAACATGAACTTTGTAAAGGACAACATTGTGTCACAAAATAACCACATGCATGTCCTCACACTACATGTGTGTGATAAACTTCATGCTTCAGATAAACGGTGTGCAGCTTCCAAGCACAGAGGGTCAAATTGGCACCACCAGACATTTATGTGCTCACGGTGACAGAAACATGAGACATAGCAGTTAGCCACACTGTTGTGACCTTCCATGCCAAGAACAGCATCTGATGTCATGTAAAGGTGGGAGGGTGTTCTTATGTCATAGTTAAAGGTGCATCCACGCCCTGGTCCCGCCCCTTTCTCTGCTCACAGCACTTGCTATTGGCTGTGACTTACTGCTCCATCCACGGCTGGGATGTGCAGGGTCCAAATCTTGCTCTGTAGTTTCCTGTCAATTAATTTTCATAGAAAAGTATAGAATCCCTTCACTTTTTTCCTTCTCAGCATGCCTAGATTCTTGATTTAAACACATTCTTTTACGTCTATTTACTTACCTTATGTCTGAGGCAGAGGACACGCACCTGCATTTGACACAGCACCCGTGCGACAGTCAGAGGTGATCTTTGTGCAGGCGACTCTGTCCTTCCACCTGTCCATGCATTCCAAGGACTGAACTCGGGTCGCTAGGATCCCACAAGCTCCCACTGACCCTTCCCCTGCAGTTATATGCTTTTGTGTTGTTCTCGTTTTTTCACGTTTGTTTTTTCCTGTGTGTGTATGTGTGTATGCACATGTTCTGGTGTCTGTGGAGATCTCAGAAGAAAACAAAACCTCCCTCAGAACCCCAAATTCCAGATGAAGGAAGGTTGATGGCAGTGAGCTGACAGCTGGCCTTTTCGTGGAGGATATGGAAAGGGGGCTGCTGATTTTGCGGGTGCTTTGCGTGAGGTGTCACAGTTTTAATGGCATCCTATCAGAAATGCACGCTGCCAGCTCCCCCGTGCACCAGGGGCTGTGCTGTGATTATAAAATAGTGAAGTAGAAATCAAATGCCTCGTCTTAACCACACTGCTGTGAAAGTCACGACTCAGAATCTACCGTAAAGCTCGTCATGTGACAGCATCCTTGTCTTATAGCCAGCCTAACTGAAGAAACTGGGAAATCTATGGAAGGGGTTTGAAGAGTGGAGACATCGATGTTAAATTTTACACTTTTTTTTAGTGGATGAGGGCGGTGATGCTAAAGATACAGCTGAACTTGCCATTTGTATTGGTGATATTGATGACCAGTATACCATCCCTAAAGAAATGGCTTTTTTAGTGCCATTAAAACACACAACTGGGGGCCGGTAAGGAGGCTCAGCAGGTAAAGGCCAAGCCTGACAACATGAATTAATTTAATCTCCAAAACCCACATGGTAGAAGGAGAGAACCAACTCTCTTTAGCTGCCTTCTGACCCCCATACCTGCGCCAAGGCTCATGCAAGTATACACAGGAGATGAAACATGTAACGGCGTCCTGTGGGGTGGCTCAGCAGGTAGAGGGCAGATAGAGGAGTTTAACACCAGGCCTGGCAACCTAAGTTCAGTTCCTGGAACCTACGTGGCTTCTGCAGAGCCATACAGGTGCATGCATATGTATACGTAGACACACGCTAGATGTTTATATGAAGTTGCAAAGCAAATGTTCAGCTGATTTTCTTTTTTTAAATATTTTTCTTTTCATAATTTATCTTTTATTTTATTTGCTTTAGTGTTTTGCCTGCATGTTTGTCTGTGTGAGGATGGCAGATCCTAGAGCTACACACAGGTGTGAGCTGCCACGTGGGAGCTGGGAATTGAACCCGGGTCCTCTGGAAGATCAGTGTTCTTTAACCACTGAGCCACCTCTCCAGCCCCTTCAACTGATTGTCTTTGTCCATCATTAATCTATCTCATGCTGTAGCTGGCCCCACCCTAGGGATGGTGAGCAATAGAGAGACTTATCAAAGTCATAGAAGATGTGTTTGCCACCAAAAAACTTATAGCACATTAAAAAAAAACCCTTTGTGCATAAAGGTTTTAAAATGGTTAACACCATGCAAAGCTCAGGCTCGGGGAAATGTCATATGCACTGACACACTGTGAACAGATTTTGGGAAAAATGCTTCGGTCTATTTGCACCTCCATTTTCAGTTGATAGAAATACACCCCTACATTCGTGAGCACCTGTATTCAAGAATGACGGGCACGAGGGGGTAAGATTCGAACCAGAACACCAACAAGCACCATGAAAGCCCCCCGGACTGCAGCTGTCGCTGCCCCAGTTTCTCAAATACAAGGTCAGTAACTCCCTGGTTTTATGTCGCTCTCTTTTCTTTTACTTTTATAATAAAGTTGTCCCCCAACCCTCAGTGAGGGCTAGAGAGATGGCTCAGCAGCTAAGAGAGTATGCTGTGCTGGGCAGTGGTGTGCACACCTTTAAACCTATGACTCAGGAGGCAGAGGTAGGTGGGTCTCTGATTCATGGCCACCCTGGTCTATAGAGTGAGTTTACAAGATCACCAGGACTACACAGAGAAACCCTGTCTCAAAAATGAAAACAAAAGCAAACAAAAGAAAGAAAGAAAGAAAGAAAATATGCTGCTTGAGGGGATCTAATTTGGTTCCCAGCACCCAAATCTTGCAGCTCACTCCAGTTTGTAACTCCAGCTCCAGGAGATCCAGCACCTCTGCCTCCACAGGCACCTGTATTCATATGTGTAGACACGTGTGTGCGTGTGAGCATGTGAGAACACACACCACAGACACATGCACATACACATAACTAAAAAACAAAAAACAAATTTTTTTCTTTTAAATCAGTGGATTCCAGCACTTGGGAGGCAAAGGCAGGCAGCTCTCTGAGTTCTAGGCTAGCGTGCTTCATATAGTGAGAGCCTGTCTCAACAAACTCATAAGAGTTGTATTACTTATGTTTTTATAATAATTAATTACATTATTTATAATAACGTATNAAATCAGTGGATTCCAGCATTTGGGAGACAAAGGCAGGCAGCTCTCTGAGTTCTAGCTTCATATAGTGAAAGCCTGTCTCCACAAACTAGTAAAAGTTGTATTACTTATGTTTTTATAATAATTAATTACATTATTTATAATAACGTATTGGTGATCAAAAACTTGGGACCTGCCTGATAACTTTAAAAGACTCCTTACACATGGAGGTCTTAGGAAGAATGAGCGCTTGGAGCTTGCTGGTGGATGTAAGAAAGAAATAGAGGAAAGGAAAGGACAGACTGCCCCAGGTGTGGTGGGGAAGAGTTTATTATGGACCTGTGGGCGAGCACAGCCAGAGTCAGCGACAGGGACATCTGGGAGAGTCCAGAGTGGACGTGAGCAGGCTGAGCTGGGCCATGTGAGGAGAGGGGGAGGGGAAGGAGAGGGGAGAGAGCTAACCAGGTGCAGCAGCCAGGAGGCCAAAGGAACAACAGGGAAAGGGCACCAAAACATCCGGATTCTATAGGGAAGAGCCTCTGGGAAAGGGCAGCCAAAACATCTGGATTCTATAGGGAAGAGCCTCTGGGGAGGGCAGCCCAGCCCCTGGGCTAGCTGGAGAGTTCAGGGTAGAGGGTGGGGTGTGCCAGCCGTATTCTGTAACAGCGCGGGACTGAGGGATGCTGGGAGAACCTCGAGGCCAGGTCCACTTTGATAGTTAAATAGGCACCTCAGTCATTTGTCCCAGGTTTAAAACTTAACAGTTCCAAGAAAAGATATTTAGAAGAAGGACTAGGGGAGGGGAGGGACGGTGGCTGCTTGTCCAGCTCTGACTCTGTAGGGTCACTCTGGAAAGTGAGCTAAGCTCCAAATGGTGGATCACGTCCAAAGGTGGAGGGGGGGGGGGTCCTGTCCCTGACACTAGCTTCCCGGAGATCTGCAGCTTCCTAATTCTCCAAACTTTGTTATCCTGGCTCAGGATGAAATTAACCACCACGAACGACACTACCTTCCTTTAAAATCCTTTTCTAGCCTGTCAGCGGAAGAGTCTGGCCTGTGTTTCTGATCACTTCCTGTTTCTCCTCTCAGGGCAAGCTGCTCTGTGAAGGGCGGTTCTTGAGCTCTGAGCATACTGAGTTGAGGAAACATGGCTTGAAAGATGGATCGGCTTTACAGGGGAGCAGAGTCCATTGGCTCCTATACTGCGGAAACCTTTTTCTGGCCGTTCTGTTCCATCTACAAAAGATACTGCCTCTCGGCCCCACCAGAAGAGCCAGAAATTTCATGGGCTTGCAATGCCACAGGAGACAGGAAACAGAGCCATTCTTGCCTGTCAGCCGGCCCCGGTGTAAGTCCCACTGTGTGTGTGTTTACATGTGTATGTGGTGTATGTCTTGTTTGGATTTGTATGTTTTCACATGTGTGTATATGTACGTCTTGTAAGTGTGTGTTTGTTTGAGGATATGCACTGTTTATAAACATTTGTGTTTGTGTATATGTGTGCTTACATGCCTGTGTGGTGTACGCATGCTCTGTATAGGGATTGTATTATATATGTGCATAAAGCTTATGTTTCTGTACATGTTGTATGTATATCTGTGTACCATAGGCATGTGTGAGTGGCTTTGTATGTACATTTCTGTTCATTTGTATGAATGTTTACATGTATGTGTATGAATGGGCTACACTGTATTTTTATGGATTGTATGTGTCATGTTTGGATTACATATGTGTTTATATGTGTGTATTGTTTGTATATATGTATATGTGTTGTATATGTGTATGTGTTTTCAGCTGCATAAATGGCATATGTGCAACACGCATATGTTCGTGTGTGTTTACAATAGGCATGGTGAGTGTATGGTGGATATTATATTTTTTACTTAAATTTTTTCCATAGAACATATTTTGATCATTTTCCCCTTTTCCCCATCCCTTTACCAATCAATTATGCTCTCTCTCTCTTAAAAAATAAAATTAAAATTAAAAAACCTGAAAATCAAAATAACCAAATTAAAAAACCAGTAAGACAAAAAGAAAAGGCCAAAACAAACTGAAGTGACTCATAAAGCCCACACTGCAAGCCCATGCCCAGCAATAGATAGCTAACACAAAATGACCTCAGCATCTTTGGTTGGAGGGTCTTCCTCATAACGTTTGGTCAGAGCGTTTACGACTTCCGGTTTTGAGTTTTTATGGGATTTCTGTGTTACCATGTGTGTCTACATCTATATGTGTTTCTCCTGTGTTTTCTTTAGCTCTTCTTCACCTGTTTGTTTGTTCACTTATTTTGTCCTATTCTGGTTTGTTTTTGTTTTATCTTTTTTTTGTTTTATTATTCTTTATTTGTTTTCTAAGGAGAGACAGAAAGGGTGTGAATTCTGACCGGAGGAGAGGTGGGGGAGGATCTCAGGGGATTGGGGGAGGGGAAACCATAATCATAATACTTTGTATGAAAAAAAAATCTATTTTCAATAAAAGAAAAATAAGGGGGTAAGCCCACAGAAAATCACGGAGTTTGTTTTGTATGACACATGTATTTCTATGTATGTCATATGTGTTACATGTTTGTGTGTTTATGAACCTGTGTATGTGGTGTCTACACATTCACACATATATAAGTGTTGGCAGCTCCTGGTTGGGATGCCCCACTCTAATGTGCTAAGAGAGCTAAAGGTGATCGGTAACTGTGACTAGACAGTTAGGAGGTCTCTTTAGATTTAGCACAAAAATTCACCCTGAAAGGATACTGAGGACCAGGAATGTGAGCATCCTAGCCAATGATGCTGTCTCCGTTGCACACTGAGGTGCCCAGTTCACCCCAGGGCTCTGTCTTGCACTGTGAAGGTCCCCATGGCTGCCACCTTCCTTGCCACTATTGAACACAGCCACCAGCTTTCAGCCATGCCAGTTCTCAGTGCTAAAGCCTAGATGGTTCTTTCTGGACTAAAGACCCAAAGTTGCACCCTCCCCAGAACTTCCTGACCCTGCCCTTGTAGATCTTACATGGTCTGAGACACAAGATCAAGACCATGCTACCTCTTTCTCCCTCTTCCTTACCATTCTTCTCCTCCTGATCCCATTCCCCATCCCGGGCCCTCAGTACACAGCTCTGGACACTGTCTGCCCAAACCAATTCAGTGGCTCCTTTCTCCATGACAAATAATCTCTTAAACTCATGGTGGAGAACACACCTTTGGGGGGTAGGGTTCCTAAAGCCCCCAGAAAGTGCCCCATACTCTTTCCCACTCCTTATCAAGCACACACACCCCCACACACACGTGTGAAATAACTTTCACGAGGAAAAGACAAGCGTCCCTTCAAACACAATCAGCTAAAGTTTATAGGCTGGAGACATGGCTCAATGGATAGCAGGGCTTGCCATGAGAACTCAGCTCCTGAGTTTGATTCCTGGAACCCACGGGGGAGAAGAGTGTTGTCCTCTAACCTCTCCATGTGCACAAGGCACATAACCGCCTGTGCATGCAAGTTAGAGCACACGCACGCACACACTCACGCACAAATGTTATTTACATGTATTTAAATGTATTGTTGTCTTCTGTAGGTGGAAGAAGAAGAATGTGAACTCGGTCCCCAGAAGGACCCCACAAGGCAGTCGCCCCTGGACTCCGATCAAGGGCAGACAAAAGGTACTCTGCTTTCCTAGCGGAGGAGAACTGGGAGGCGTGGATGGGAACACCGGTGTGCAGATGGACGCGAGCCCACACCCTGAGTGCTGGCAGGGGCAGCTGAAGGCCCTCGTTACATAGATTTACCCACTGTAGCCAAATACAGCAAGAGGGCTCCTCTTTACACCAGGGAAAACCAAGGAAAGGGACCCCTGCCAGGTGGATGGCCTTGGGGTGACAAATGCTGGTTCCAAGGAAAGGAGCCTTCATATCTAAGCTCCTCCCTGAGAAGGACATGCAGATCTGGACGTGATAAGAAGACTGCTCCCAGCTCTGGATGTCAGCAGTCCCTGTGTGTGGTCAGCTGTGTCCGATGTGTCACATGGGTTGACAGTGTCATGCACTCAAGTAGAGTGTCACCAGTGGCCACTGGGAGGGACTGGGCTCCGTCTTCTCAGAGATCCACCTTCGCCACCTAACCTAAGGAGAGGGCATTTGGGGATGCTAGAAACCTACCCGTGTTTTCTTTCTAGAAGAAATGATTTGTGACTCATTGCATTTTAACATGAATGATATTTTTCCTTATTTATTCGAAGGGCCAGGACCATTGGGGAAAAACAGCCCAGTTATTCTACCACATGGGAAAGTCACCAACACAGGCTAAGCCTTTTTCACTTCTTACGGGAAGCAAAGCTAGTGTCATTACTTGAAAAGTCCCCTCTCTGCATCTCACAGTGCATTTAGCTTTTCCGTTTGAGCTCCAGCTGCTGAAAAGAGTTGCTCTTTGGCCCTAGCTGCACCTGAGCTAGGCAGGCAGGAATGGACATCCAACGTCTGTGCTTAATCGAAACTTCTGTGTATCCACTCAAGTTCCTTCTATTCCCTTTGGAAAAGCTCAGGAGAGCCAAGACGATTGCAGTTCAGCCTAGGGTGCAGACGTGCAGAAGCAAACCAGTGGGTGCTGAGGTTTGAAGGCAGAACCTAGCAGTTTTTGGTAGGGTTAGCGCTCTCTGATCTGAGATCCATCAGTGTCTCCCATGGGGACCACACTTGGAAACTGTCATGTGTCACTGTATGTGGTTTGGGTCCTAGGACCTGCAGGGCTGGGAGAAGGGCATTTCCTTCCCAGTCCCCAGCCTCGGGCATTTTTAAAAATTTAGCACTGGATTAGCCAGTGTTTAGTTGACATGAGTCTCCCTTCTCAGCTGGTGGCTCTGATGTCCCTCTTTGTAGAATGTTCGCCCCTGCCTTCCAGGACCCAGGCTGAGAATGTAAGCCCAGGGAAGACTCAGGGTCAGACTCTGGCCTTTGTCTCTGCAAGCTCCTCATCCTGGAACTCTGTTTCTCAGATGCGCAGGGGTTTATGGCCTCTGATAAGCAGAGAGGGTAGGTTCTGTCCCATTTCCCTCTGATGGTTTGCTTTGTCAAATGCTTCTAGGTCTGAAGGAGAAAGAGCTCACCCCAAAGAAACTGCAGCTCCTTCTGGTGGGGAAAACAGGAAGTGGGAAAAGTGCAACAGGAAACAGCATACTTGGCAGGCAAGAATTTGAGTCCAAAATCAGCACTAGACCAGTGACCTTGACCTTCCAGAAAGGGAGTAGAGAGTGGGATGGAAAGGAGGTTGAGGTGATCGACACCCCGGACATTTTGTCACCTCAGTATCAGCCTGAAGTGGCAGCTGAGAAGATCTGTGAAGTCTTGGCCTCTCCAGGGCCCCATGTGGTGCTCCTGGTGATACAGGTAGGCCGGTACACAGCAGAAGACCAGCAAGCTGCCAGGCGCCTCCAGGAGATCTTTGGAGAAGGGATCCTGGCTTACACCATTCTGGTGTTCACTCGGAAGGAAGACCTGGCTGGGGGCTCCTTGGAGGAATATGTTCAAGAGAACAACAATAAGAGCCTGGATGATCTGCATGTTGCGTGTGAGAGGCGACACTGTGGCTTCAACAACAGGGCACAAGGGGATGAGCGGAAGGCCCAACTGAAGGACCTTAAGGAGAAAATCGACTTGGTCTTGTGGGAAAACGAGGGCCACTGTTACACCACAAAACTTCCAAATGTTCCCAGCAAAGCAGTTTAACTACAGAGCAAGGCTCTGAGGAGGAATCCCTCAAGGAGTCCTGGCTGAAAGGTTGTGCCAGATCACGATGGCTTTTGAAAAGACCTGTAGGTACCTGATAGGGAGGGCATCCTGACGAGTGCAGGACGACCAACGCAGGAGTGTCTTAGTTAGTGTTCTCTTGCTGTGAAGAGACACCATGACCATGGCAACTCCTATGAAAGAAAGCGTTTATTGGGACTGGCTTACGGTTTCAGAGGCTTGGTCCATTATCGTCATGGCTGGGAGCATGGCAGGAAGCAGACATAGAGCTGGAGAAGTAGCTGGGAGTTTACATCCAGATCCACAGACAGCAGTTTGAGGGAGACTCTGGGTTTGGAATGGGCTTTTTGAAACCTCAAAACCCACTCCCAGTGACAGACTTCCTCCAACGAGGCCACACCTCCTAAGCCTTTCAAACAGTGCCACTCCTGGTGACCAAGCACTCAAATCTATGAGCCTATGGTGGTCATTCTAATTCAAACACCACAAGGACATTCCATCAGCAGCTGTACCCTGTGTCCAGCCCTTGTTGTCTGCTCCCTCTGTCTCCAAAGAGAACTTTCCAGTCCTTAGGTCAGACAGTCAGGTGTGGCAATGGGCTGAGGCCTCAGTTCAGGGGACCCAGCTACATTCTGTGTCCAGCTATGTCGTTTTTCTGAACACATGGGTCCTCCTTACACTTAGCCCATAGCACAGCGCCCTGACAGGGGACTTTCTGTCCCACTGATATCACATTTTTATGTTCTGTGTCCAATCTCTGATACAAACATAGCCATTGTCTGACTCTTTCTTTCATGTAAGTTGCGCAGCTGCCTAGCCAAGGTCATCAGGGTTGAATCAACCCAGGGACAGCCATGGACCAGATGGTTATATATTTCTTAAGTTTCATCCTTGTCCATAAAGAGGGACAGACATTATGATTACAAGAGGCCTGCCCTGTGTAATGGGTAGAAAATGACAACAAGACAGACTAGAGAGGCCCAGACCATCAGGGTTTTCTTCCACGATGTGACGTGTGTTCATAGGCTGTGCTCTATAACCGTGTTCTAAGCACGGATGTAAGGTGTTTTCATAGGCTGTGCTCTATAACCGTGTTCTAAACACTGATGTAAGGTGTTTTCATTGGCTGTGCTCTATAACCGTGTTCTAAACACTGATGTAAGGTGTTTTCATTGGCTGTGCTCTATAACTATGTTCTAAGCACTGATGTACTTCCAAGCTTTTGAGAGACTTTGCTGCAATGGCCACATGTGCACAGTGACTAACTTTGAACCATTTATGTCCTTCCTGGGATGAGGGGCATCTAGTGCCTCTTCCGTCTTTTGCGAGCTAAGAACGGTTGGAACAAATGTATGCAAGCAGATCACCATGCAAGTGCAAACCTTGCAACAGGACACGGCAGAGACTCCAAGGAGTCAGAAATCTGAGGGCGCCAACCCAGAAACCTTGCCTGTGTGCTGTCTCCCTGGGCTTCACCATAGACTCCCAATAAAGTCGTGTTCCGTGGGTACCGCTCGCCTCTTTGTGATTTTTGTCTGACTTGGGAAAAGAAACTTGAACTGATTGGTAAGCACAGTGGCTCTGATATGCATGGCAAGATATATCCTGGGCTATGGAAGAATATGAAGAGGAGCCTAGAGAGAGGCTAAATCAATAAATAATAAATAATAAAAATGGCACTGGCACTTGATCCTCTTGAACCATAACAAACAGGTCTCATGGGTGCTTCCTATGGTCAGAATGAGCGGAGTTGGGCTAAGAACTGCAGATGTCAGCCTTGGCCTAGGAGAACCTTACCCTGAGGCTGCAGGTGTCTCCATCTGCATGAACTTGGGCAGAAAAGGCCATCTTCCCTCAGGTCACTCTTGTTACCTCCCCTATTTTCTTTGGGTTCCTTCACCCAGTTTTAGATCTAGCTTTGGGGATATGAGAGAACAAAGTCTATTTCCATACTTCCATGAGCCTCCTTCATCGTGGTAGGTGTGTGAACGGCTGAAGGGAAGGTCTGCCTGTGTAAGTGATCTCTGCAAGAAGATCAATCAGAAGGGTGAGCGGAGGGAAGGGAGTCTTTGAAAGGAGGGAACCTGCAAAAGAAGGCTAGGGGCTTAGACCGCATGCATGGCGGGAACCTGGTTTCCACAAGAATGCTTCAACAGCACAGGGACATCGTCCTGGAGAGATGGTCCTACAGATGAAGGACAACCAACAGAAGAAGGAAGCGGGACATTGTCTCAGACCTCTTTAATTTATTTATTTTCATTTTTCAAGACAGGGTCTCATTATGTAGTCCTGGATGTTTTGAGACTCACTGTGTAGAACAGGCTGGCCTTGAACTCACAGATCTCTGCCTACCTCTGCCTCCTGAGTGCTGGGATTAAAGGTGTGCGCCACCACCACCTGGCTGACTCAGACCTCTTCAAGGAAGCAGTTTAGCCAACTGTACAGGCTGCCATGCTTCAGATGCCCCTGAGCATCCGCGAGAATCAGGAAAGGCGGGAGTGTGGTCAGCTGATGGGAAGTTGATGAGAGGAAGGAGGTGACAGACGCCCAATTCCCTCTGCTTCCCCCTTCAGCTATGGAGCAGAGGCTGGAGCTCTCTTCCTCACAGAAGTTTCGGGAGTGGAGCGGTAGGGACTGTGTGGGTGGACTGTCAGGACGCAGAAGATGAGACCTCGGGTTCTTCTAGATGTTTATCTGCAGGCCCAAGTCCAGTCTCCTCTGTTTTCCCAGAAAGAGGGAGTCTTAACCTCCCTTACAGGGCAAGGATGTCATAAATCACTTCTTTATCAAAAGGCAGCAATGGCCCTGGTTTAGAACGATGCTGGGAAGTACCTGACAAAGCGCTTGCCCTTCCTTGTATTGTTCTGACTTCCCTAAGCAGGAAACAGACTGTTTCCTCAGCCCTGGCTCCCAGCAGCCAGATATGATCAATACTTTTACTTCCTTGACCCTCTCCTGCCTGAGGTAGTTGCCCGACTGAAAGCTGGGCACAACCGATCAGGCGTCTTGACATCCCCAGAATGAATCATCCACCTGGAACAAGTGTTTTGATTAAAGACAAGCCTGGCATCGTGTAACAATATTCCAAGGATGTGAGGGATCTGTATGCAGTGTGGATCTATAGTAAGACACTCCATTACTGATCTATAAGAAGGCACTCTATTGCTGATCTATAGTAAGACACTCTATTACTGATCTATAGGAAGACACTCTATTACTGATCTATAGTCAGGCACTCTATTACTGATCTATAGTAAGACACTCTATTACTGATCTATAGTCAGGCACTCTATTACTGATCTATAGTAAGACACTCTATTACTGATCTATAGTAACACTCTATTACTGATCTATAGTAAGACTCTATTACTGATCTATAGTAACACTCTATTACTGATCTATAGTAAGACTCTATTACTGATCTATAGTAACACTCTATTACTGATCTATAGTAAGACTCTATTACTGATCTATAGTAACACTCTATTACTGATCTATAGTAAGACTCTATTACTGATCTATAGTAAGACACTCTATTACTGAGCAGGGAGGGAAGGAGTCCTGAGCAATTGGAATGTGCTCCACAGCCTCACCAGCTCCTCTGTATCAGATGTTACCACCTAGTGAGGGAATCTGGGCCGTGTTAATGGTGGTGATTGGAAAAGCCATAGGAGACAATCCATGCTGAACAAATGCCCACACTGAGAAGGCTGCCATCTTTTGTTAAATTTGCATTAATCCTAGAAGATGATCACTGCTGTATACTTCCTGTGTATTTTATGACATGAACACTGCACTTCACAAAAACATCCAGTGTTTGTCACAGATTTTTATCAGGTACCTGGGAATTGTTGAAATATAAAGTGTGGGCCAAGGTCTGATAATGCACTGTCCAAACACATCCCAGGTGTGACTGGTGTGGCATTTCTGTGCCATTTTAGGATGCCTCCCCTGAGACTGAGAGCCTGTGCTGGGCCAAAGAAAAGACATTCCCCCTGCTTCAGATATTCCTAGAAAATAGCAGGACATCCTACGCTCCCTAGGGGAGTCTGTAAGACATGGACACCTATGCTCCCTAGGGGAGTCTGTAAGACATGGACACCTATGCTCCCTAGGGGAGTCTGTAAGACATGGACACCTACTCTACCTAGGGGAGTCTGTAAGACGTGGACACCTACGCTCCCTAGGGGAGTCTGTAAGACATGGACACACACTAAGGACTGGGTCAAGTAAGGAAGAGTGTCATTTTTGCCCACTTTATTGCTCCGCCTAGCATGTGACTCTCGGGTTATTAATGAGAGTCCACAGCAGGGACCCACAGCCATTGTGTGCTTAAGTATCCCATTCCCTTTACCTGTGTGAAGGTGTCCTGTAAAGGACCAGCATGATGAGACCTGTAAAGGAAGATCCCAAAAGAGACCTTCACTCGATCTACAAAATGGAAAGAGAAAGAACGCGTAGGTCTTTTCTTCTCACCAGGGCCCCAAAGTGAGAACAATGGTCTCAGCTTTTGAAAATATAAGCAGGAAATGTGGTTCAGTGGTTTCCATCTGAGCCTGCTCAAGAAAGGAGCAGAGCCAGCAATGAACTTCCTGAGCAAGGAGACATCAAGAATTTCTCATGTCAGAGTTGCTTCTTCTCCCCAGCACAATTCTTGCCACACTCACCATCTGGCACCAACCAAAATTACTTTCACATTTTATAGTGTTCAATCAGGCTTGGTTTAGTGACTCCAGAGTCTGGACCCCCAAAGACCACCAGGAGACCAGATCTGATGTAAAGACAGAGTCTTCCTAATTACAAGTTCAAATCCGGGTCTCTCATCCATCGGGTACAGTGGTGGGAGAAGAACAAGTGTGGGCTGGGGGTCTGCACGTCGCATAGTCACAGTCTCAGGATCGGCACCTCCGAACTGGGTACCTGTCCGGCTTGATTGGTTATTACAGCAGCGGAGAAATGGCTGCATCTGTTGCTGTGGTCCCTGCATTACAACCTTCTCAGTAAAGCGCGTCCAGAGCCCACTAGCCTGAGCCTCTGTTTGCTTCTTTTCCATATGTGGACATCTGGTGGTTTCTTGTGTTTTTTTTTTTGTTTGTTTGTTTATTTATTTTTTAAGTAACTTAGTGCACGGTCGGGGACACAGCACATCCTGCTGGGTCAGGGGCCTACATCCTGGAGTATCTTTTCTGCAGCCTGTCATGGCTACCATATTGTCAAAGCAGGGGTCTGGATAAGGGCTTGGGCCCTCACTGTTTTATATTATAAAGATGTAAGTATTTAGGAGTCAGGTGTGGTGGTGACATCTTTAATCCCAGCACTTTGGAGGCAGGGACAGGAGGATCTCTGAGTTTCTCTGAGTTCAAGGCCAGCTGGTCTACAGAGTGAGTTCCAGGACAGCTAGGGCTACACAGAGAAAACCTGTCTCAAAAAAAACAAACAAAAATTTTAAAAATTATATTTAGTATTTCCTCAAACTCCCCATAACTGAAGCACTGCTGTGTGACATTTCCTCAGTGAGCATTTGACTGCGTAGACTTCTGGGGTCGTACACCACATGGATTTTACTCTGTGCTGTCAAGAGTTGGGGTAACAGAGGATCTGAGGTACCCTCACAGTCAGTGTACGGAAACCTGCAAGGTCCAAATTTCAATGAAAGACTCAGTCTCAACAAACAAAACAAAGCAGAGAGGGTCTGTGAGAAGACTCTGGGGGTAAAGGAGTCTCTACCAAGCCTAAGGACTTAGGTTGGCCCCTGGGGCTCACAGGGTGGAAGGAGAGAACCAACTCCCACAAGCTGTCCCCTGCCCTCCACATACGCATGCACTGTGTGCATGCACACACGTAGATAAATGTAATAAAAACATTAAAAAGGTAGAGATTGACTGAAGGAGACTTCGCTGGCTTCCACATGCATGCTTACACACATGCACATGTACTAACTCACACACATACAAAATACTTGTGGGGAACAAACATCTTTTTTTTTTTTTTTTTTAGTTTTTTGAGACAGGGTTTCTCTGTGGTTTTGGAGCCTGTCCTGGAACTAGCTCTTGTAGACCAGGCTCACAGAGATCCGCCTGCCTCTGCCTCCCTAGTGCTGGGATTAAAGGTGTGCGCCACCACCGCCCGGCTGGGAACAAACATCTTAAAATCCGGGGATGTGCCCAAAGGATCAAAGCAAGCATAAAGTACAGATGACTATGGTTATTATTACACTGCTCGGTCTAGGAGCCCGTGAAAGAATGAATGGATAAGGGAAATATGAGATATGCACATGTGTCTGTTGAGGAAAGAATGCGACTTTATTTGCAATAGAATGGATGGAATTAACAATTATTATGTTAAGTAAAATAAGCCAGACGTAGAAACACAAATATCACCCTTCTTCTCTTATAGGTAGAATCTGGTTATTTTTTTAAAGACATGAAAGGAAAGAGAAATGGTTTGGGAGAAGGAAGCAGACTAGCAGGAGGGGAGAGGAAGTAACTGAGGAACACGGGGAGCTGACTGGGGCTAGAGAGATGCCTCAGTGGTGAGGAGTGCTCGCTGCCATTCCAGAGACCCAAGTTCAGTTCCCAGCATCTATGTCAGGTGCATTACAACTGCCTGTCATT